ACAAAACAGGAGAGAGGGGCGAGCTAACTTGGTTTGTTTGTGATCTCGCTTCAAACACAAACAGAAGTGACGTCACCCGCAATCACTGATACAACGTTTAAGTGAAAACCACAAACTTCATGTCATGGAAATTTCTTGGCTTCTGAAATGAGGAACCTGCACAGAATTTGTTTCACTCAAGAAGGATTATGAAGTATAATCCCTCTGAGACTGTAGAGATTTATAATTGATTAACTGGAGAGGGAAATTGGCAACAGATAATGGAACTTTTAAATAGAGAACCGTATTAAACCTTATTTGCAGGTCTAAGATATAATGGTAACATTTTACAATAAGGTTGATTAGTTAGCTATATTAGTTAACATGTATTAAAAATGAACAATACTTAGTCAGCATTTATTAATCTTAGTTAATATTAATTCCAACTTTTACTAATACATTATTAAAATCAAAGGTTGTATTAGTTAACATTAGTTAATGCACTGTGAACTAACATGAACGCACAATGAACAGCTTTATTTATATTAACTAACATTAACAAAGATGAATAAACACTGTAACTAATGCATTGCTCATCGTTCATGTTAGTTAATGCATTTACTAATGTTAACTAATGAACCTTATTGTAAAGTGTTACCGATATAACTAAATGTTTTTTCCTTAAAAACACTAGTTATTTATACAATACAATACAAACAATATTTATATTTGATTATATTCATTATTATATTTTCAGTATAATTCGTGTTATATATTTTAATAGGTATTTTGGTTTTTCTTGTTAATTATGATTCTGTCTGACATCAATTTGAACTTTGGGGGTCAAAAGGTTATCTTCATTCCATGCAGATCATTCATTATCTTCAGATCAGTTTTCTTCTGGCTGTAATTGAAATACTTTACAAGCTTACACAACCTGGTGTGAAGCATTTTTACAATGGAATGCTAAAAACGTTCCTTGCGTTCCCGAACATTCTTGACTTAAAAATAATCATCCAGCATCTTAATCTGTCACAAGCATACAAGAATTAGGCATCATTTACTTGTCTCTCACTTTCATATATGTTTTCTTCCTTTGTCACAAAACCACATGATTTCTTCTGCTTCAGAGACAGTAGTGTTATTATCTTTATGGCTCAGATTCTGAGCAAAAATGTGAGGTCAAACTCCATACACACATTACAATACACTGTCCCGCCAGCACATGTACACACACGCACAGACACACACACATGCACGTATGGTTTATTATCTTTGTGGGCACTGTAGACGTAATGGTTTTTAAACTGTAAAAACTGTATATTCTATCCCTTACACTAACCCTACTCCTAAACTTACCCGTCACGCAAAACATTCGGCATTTAAAAAAAAAAAAAAAAAAAAAACGAATTCTGAATGATTTATAAGCTTGTTTCCTCACGGTGACCTCAATTTAGTTCCCCACAGTGAGTCCCCATGAGTCTGTGTGCATTCAAGTTGAAGTCCCCACTGGGAAAGAAAAACATGTACAAACACACACACACACATTACAATTCACCTATACTGCATGTTTTTTTTTTTTTTCAGGGGATTGTGGAGCTCCCAGAGGAAACCCACTAAGTTCTGTGATAGTCAATGAAGCTTTTTACACTGCACAATGAATCTCTTATTTACATGGCGTCTACGGTTTGTTTATTATAATGAGATGATTCACAAGCGTTCAGAACTCAACACTGAACAAAGATTTCAGAGTTTTGAGTGGTGAGTGGATTCCGACTAACTTAGACACCTCTGATTGGCCACTGCTTACAAGAAATCATCAGATGTGATTGGCAGATCAATGCTGCAAAAGCACTTTGTAAATAGAAACCTTTGACGTTCTCCATAGCGCAAACACAAATACGCACTTGAGCGTTCGCCAAATACGTATGTTTAGCCAAATCATATGGCCCCGATTCCCTGGGGCCCTCAGCAGCCGCTTACCTCGCTTATTGGTTAAGTCCACCCCTGATTATGTCCCATTAGAAGTGTGAAACAAAACAAAAAAAGAGCTTACAGCAGCAAGGTTCCTTCTGACGCCTGAGGGTTACATAAACTTAAGGTTTTATGCTGACACTGCTAAGGCGAGCCACTCATCTTCCAGACTGAGAAGGCCTTCAGACATTTGCATTAACCAACATTAGTCAAAACACTTCATCAGGGTCGGTTTTCTTTAGTGCAGTATAAGCAATTTACATTCACTTAAGTTTTTGAATATCAGATTGTCTGCCAGCAATGACCCACAAATGACAGGTATTGTAATCAGTTTGACTAAGGCGTAAAGACGGGCTTAGGGATTCACTTTGGATCTGAAACTCTGCTAGAATGCAGATCCATGTTTCCAGGGTGATGAATGTGCTCACTTTGCACTTTCCTTTCTGTGTCCTAAGTCCCTTCATTTATGATGTCTACATTCTGTACATTGCCTCGTCTTGTGGCACTGAGCAACACAGGGAGCTCTGGAGGGAGAAAATGCTGTCAGCATTTCTAAAAAGAGTGAAGGAAGTGCAGAAAAAAAGCAGTCTTTTGTCTGGGGAAAGATTTTAAAGTCGGCATTCACCCTATTTTCGAAATGCATTTTATTGATCTTTTTCATGAACATGTTTCAGTTTTTATTTGTTTTGATTTCGTAATTGTTAATAAAAATATGAACATTCAGTCACCCAGTGAAACGTCAGACTTCTCCCTGATGTAAAGTATGCTGGATTATCCAATTAATTAGTCCTCTTAAAGGGATACTCCATCGTTTTTTCATATTAAACTATGTTATTCCCTTAACTAAGACGAGTTGATGCATACCTCTGTCGTCTCAGTGCGTGTGCTCAATCGCTCTGGAGCGCGAGACACTTTGATAGCACTTAACTATAGCAGTTCATTCAATATGGGCCAAGCAGAGAAGCGACCAAACACACCTCCACGAGGTGAGTTTAATTTCTGTGTAACAAATTTTCAAAAATGTAATGTTTTCTGACAGGTTTCTCTAACACTCAATCGCCTTTTACACGTTTGTGGGGAATCAGCCTTTTGAAGTTTTTCTGTTTTTTTTTTATAATGCAAAATTCATAGTGCACTTTTAAGTAGAGAAATATAACCCTACAAAATTCTGAGAGAGAGAGAGAGAAAACACTATTGCCTGAATAATGTATCCAATTTCTTTTATCAGATACCATGCAGTGCATTGCAGTAATTATGCAATCCTGAAGAAAACATCAGAAAAACGTTGACATTGTTGTCAGCTTTCAAGCCAAGAGGTTACACAGTGGTGGACCTCTGTACTTGAGCTGGATAAGGACTAAAACCACATTTTGGTTCAGTGGGAGAGTTTATTTGTCCACTGCTCTTGCTGCACTGGTTTGAGGAAGTGTTCTCATGTCACCTGATACTCATGACTCAGAGGAAACACACACATCCCTGAAGCTTGAATTACTGCCTTACACTTAAACAAAGCTGTTACTTATGCAAGAAGATGACACAAACAACTCAAATCATATCAGGAACATTTGTGGATTGAGGCTTGAGGTTGGAGCTCAAAAGAAGATATAGTGAAAAGAGTTTTTTTTGTCCATAGAGAAAGTCAATGGGGTCCAAAACAACACCACAATGTCTTTCATGACAAAAACATCAAATCTTCTTTTGTGTTTCACAGGAGAAAGAGGGTCGTGATAACAGAATTCTCGTTTCTGGGTGAACCATCCCATTTAATAACCTTTCAAATATACTGTACCTGAAGTAACTGCAGTTAATCTCCTGAGAAGTAGGTCAGTCTCAGGGGGAATCATTCTCTAACCATCTGAACACATCTAGGCTTTCACATCTTTTGTGAATAGATTGTCCTGCTTAAACAAAATGTGCATCCCAACCTTTTAAAAATATGTTGGCATAAGAGTTTTACAGCCCACTGCAAACAGTTGAGAAACGCTGAATCGTCTCATTTCATTCTAAAGAGACTGAGAAAATCGTCACAGGCTGAGACATTTGGGGCACGGTCTGCATTTGTGATGAGATTAGTAACTTCAATTAGCATTTAATAAATGGACTATTGTTACTTCGGCAGCACCACCGAAACGCACGGACATGAGCTGGTGTGATATGGTGGAAATACATTATGCACTTTGGGAATAATAATTCAGATCGCAACAGTTGTAGCATGTTCGTCGTACTACAAAACTTTTGCAAGGCAGTGAAACCCTTCAATTTAAACTGCTCAGTGATTCCAGTTTATTGTGCTGCAAATAACTACATTTATATTAGGCATACTAAAGCTTTTGCAGCTTTTTTTGTGCAATGAATGTATGTGCAAATTTAGCAAATATTGTCATGTTGTGATGTGGATGTCATTAGATTTTATTGGACAAACATTTGGAATAGAGCTTGGTCTTTCAGGCAAATTCCATATACATTTTTGGAAAGATTTGAATGATATTTAGTTAAATGAGAAATAGAATAACTTGTAAAGTGCCAAATAAGTAAATATGCTATAGCCTACTGTTTCATTATTTTTTAAAATATTTTTTTTTAAATATTTTTTTAAATAATTAAAAATATAACTATGAGGTTGTAAGATCATTATTATTTGTGGTTAATTCACTATTAAGGAACGAGATTTAAGATTTGTTGTAATAATTTAAATATTATAATTTTGTCATTTTAATGTTATTTGAGTTAAAGTCTTACAGATTGGGCTGTTATGTCAGACAAAGGTTGGGAAACACATAACAAAAATCATTTTGTTAACTTTTGAGTATAGCCTACACTTTATGCGATTAAACAGAGATATTGACTAAAAGCTGCGAATAACTAAAAAAGGAAGATAAGAAGCGAAAGTAAAAGTGAAAAAGGCAAAAAAACAATAATGAACAAAAAGTAAAATGAATAGTTGGGTGAGAGAAAGACACTGTTCCTAGTGTGCTGCTTGCGCACAGTCTGCTTGTGATCGCGCGCACGCTCGCTCGCTCGCTCCCTCTCTCTCTATGGTCTGTGTCGCTCTCGGAGACGCACTCTCCAGCGGTTGCCTGCAGCAGTCAGTCAGTCAGTCAGTCAGTCCTGTGCTTGTAGTTTGCTTTATTGCATGTAGCCTACATGAGCAGTCCGTCACTCAGAAGCGAGTGCTTGTGGATTACAGTGCAGAGCCACACGCTGCTTCTAAACTAAACCAAACATACGCTAGCAGCATTGAGAGACTCCAAAACTCAGTGTTGTCGTGAGCACTCGTGGGGGTAGGCGGGAATGGCTTCGTCTCCGTGCGGCGGTGGGAACTTCGATTGCGGGCTGGAAATCCAAACTCGCTCGGTGGAGCAAACACTCATCCCGCTCGTGTCTCAGGTGAGTCCGAAACTTCTCGGCGGGGTTAATTAATCATCCAAAACCCAATGTGGGATTTTTTTCCTTCTTTTTTAAAGAAGTGCTTTTCCGTTGTATGTGTAAAGGTTAACCAGAACACTGTCTGAAACCTCAACAAATACAACACTTCACCATGGTAACTAGAGTTTTCTTCAGAATGCCATATTTGCTACAGTTAAAGTAAAAATAAACTAATATGGGTGCCCGTTTAAAACTGTGTAACTTAGGCTACTTCAGTGTATTTCGCCCATGTCAAAGCTTCTGTCATTTTGATGAATGTATTTTTTAGATGGCAAATTAAGTTGCTTCAGTTTAATTGACGATCATTGAAGTAATTATGGTATTTTTCCGGAGAACTGTGGTTGACATGTTAGGTTATAGTCAGGGAAGTTTGTTGTTTTGTATTTGGCAGGGTCATATTCTGATGAATGAACAGGAGTGAAACTTTGTTTCGTGTTATTTGAGAGGATGGTGTGCAAGCTTCTTCAATTAGTGTAGAACACAAACGGTTTGGGTTTAACCAAGTCTGACATTAATTCAGTAATATAAAATACATTTTTACTGTAACCTAATCAATGCAGGCTATGGCATTTTCTTTCATAACACAATACCTGACTTGTTTGTATAGGCCTATGCTTACTCTTTAAAACTTTTTTTCTTTCTAAAAATGTACAAGTTTATGTATGAATTACATAGAAATCGCCACCTCATTTTGTATCTTTCTTCAAAAAGGAAAAAAGATGCAAGCCCCCTGCTCTGGGCTTTACATTTTCTTGCTTTCCGCTCACTGGTGAGAGAAACCCTCTCTGGGGTGCCTTTCCCAAAAGCATTGTTAGCCAACATCGCAAGTTCTGTCATTTGCAACATTGTTCAACAATTCTTTGTGAAGTTGTGTGGTTGGAACTTGGAGCTGCAGCCATTAACAACAGTTGTATAGTGGTTTGAAGAACAGAAGTGCCTCATATTTAGTAGTTTTGGGAACTTTATCTTCTATTCTATATCTATTATCTTTATAAAATAAAAACATGCAGGCTACTGCTTTAGATTAAACTGGGAAGGGTCATAGCACTTGGCTATTGTTGTGATTTGGCACTGCAGGTCTTGATGCCCAATTCGATTTGTTGATTAAATCGGATTATAATCAACCAGCAGCTTACATCTTATTTCAAAAGTGACATATCCGATATCTACATTTACACTAGGCCTATTTGGTGAAACAACCCAAGGTAGACGCACTGACCCGGAAAGGAATAGATTCAGACTAAATGATAATACAAGCTTTTGCTTTCTGCACCATCTTTAAAGGTCAACATAACATCTATCTCTTAAAGTGGAGAAAATAACGAGAAGAGCCTTTGCTCCATGTGCAAAAACACAGTTGATGTCACAGTTGTTTTTTCAATGGCGTACGACTCGCATTGATGGGAATAGCCGATCTGTCTGCTTGCACGTATATGTTTCATATCAGATTTATTTCCCACATATGCATGAGGCCTGAAAAAGATCTGAGAATATCAGATTCCATATGCTTTTTTTTCATGCTTACAAAGTAAATTCAGCCTCATTCTCTCTTTCAAAAAGTCCTTTACTTGGTAGGTTCACAGCTAACAGCTGCTGATTTCCATTTGTCATTAAATAACATGATTCACGTTGGTAATGGTGGCACAACTACACATGTGCCGTTCTGAAGAACCGTGTTTTGTTTTAAAAGCATGTACACTGTTTTCATGTGATTTTCATACTATGCTTCCAAAACCGTCCCCATGCGCTTGGTTAAAGACAGGCATTTAGATTTGATATCATTAGAATTTCTATTGCTCAAGTAAATTCTATTTCACAACCATACAGAGGGCAATCAGTTTGGAGAATGGGTGGATGTTTGGATGGATGGGTGCTTCATTCTAATTGAAGTTTATTTTGTATTGTGATGGGAATTGCTTAAATGTCTTTTGAAAATGTTCTTTAAAGTCACAAAAAGTTGTTAAAGTTGTAAGTTTTTTTTGCCACAAGAGGGCGCAGTTTCCAACAATAACAAAGGCGTAGGTTGATGACGCAGTGATGAGCTGAAGGATGGAACTAGCTGTGAAGCTGATGGATCTAATAATGTTTATGGATGAGTGCAAACATTCATGTTTTTAACATTACTTTGGTCGCAATTACTAAAGAGACAGATATCACACGCGAATCCCGCGAATATAAAGGAATAAGGACATTTAATTCTACAGAACTACCCGCAAGTGCTGGATTACTCACTAGACAAATTAAACTTGTGAGGTAATGCAGCTCTGCTTCACTTGGTCTAACGTTAACGTAACGCCATTTAAATGTTAGTTGAAAGTTGTCATGTTATACTACTTGTTAGTTTTTTTGCTATACGAAACTAGCAGTAAGCTAGATCAACATTAGAAAAACATACTGACCATATTCTAACATTTCATCATGTTGGGTTAACGTTATATAACATTGATTTGTTTTATGTACATTTACTCACCTGTCTAATAAAGCTGTAGTGACTCGTAAAGCTCTATGAAGTCCAAGTTAGTCGTGGGCGTGGAGCTCTCGGCATCTAAAAAACGCCACACTGATATTGATCCTCATTTTAGTTCTCCTTGTTTGTCCCAAAGTCTGCTTGCCATGGTCTATGTTTGAAAGAAACAGGAACTGAGTGCCGCTAAGCTTTACGCACTATGCAGTTGTCCACGTCTGTGAACGTCGTGTGAACGGTAACCGAGGATAGCGCGGATATTACGTCATTTACAGGCAAACATTTTTTTCAACAATTTCTCTGAAATAAAAAATCTTTGGAGACTTTTGAAATATTGGAAGTACACAGCTGCAGGAAATATCACACCGGGCAAGTGATTTTTGGATATTTTATTACAAAAGTCTTACATATTGTATCTTTAAAATTCACTAGTTAGCAGGGATCACTAGGATGGTTGATGGTAATGAAGCTGAAAGGTCAGTGTTAGAAGACATGCTAATCGGCCATTCAGTGGACATTTGGGTAATAGGACCTCTTTTAGAGCTTTACAGATTCTGGACAATAGATGGTCAAAGTGGCCATAGTCACAACCCTTCCCCCAACCTCAGTTTTGTCAAACTTGATTGTGCTCTCTCTATAGACCATTTCAAAAGATGTAAACAACACTGGTCCAGAAGCACTTCCTGTTTCAGTTTTTTAACACTACATAAAAGCTGGGATAAAATACAACCAACAGAACATTTAAAATTGAATCAAAAAGTTAAACCAACATCTTTAAGATGTTTTCTTTACATGTGAAATAAAGAAAACAGTTACAAACTGAAACAGGAAGTGTTTCTGGACCAGTGTTGTTTACATCTTTTGAAATGGTCTATAAACAACAATGATGATACAAATGTAAAATGTTGTCTTGCCTGCAACTGCCAAGTTTTCTAGACCGTATGCACAAGTCTGGTAGTTGCAATGTGATAAGCACAGTTGGAGACCACTTTGAAATTGATTCCAAAAAAGAGATGGTTCTTTGATTTGTTCCATGGGGATTGGAGCTGAATCAAAAAGTACTGGATAGCCAAAATTCATTGTGTTGTGTGATGAATGTAAATGTGCCATTATCATCTCAGGTTGTAAGATTGTGTGAAGGACAGGAGGTTGAGTTCAGAGGTCAGATGTATCCCCTCTCTGGGGGGCTGAGCATGATAATGGGAGGAAATGAAAGCTTCAAGTTGGCGAGAAAGGGTTTTCAGAGCTTATTCAGTGACTGACACACACACTCACACGCAGGCATGATCTCCCCCATATCCTCTCTGATATCTGTCTTATATTCACATCTGTGTAATTACTGCTGTTATCCTCCCAGGCCTAGATCAGTCTTTATGTGTTTTTGCCTGTTGGCCCACTCATGCGATGACCTTGTTGACAATAGCTTTCTCTGTTTTTATTAAACTAAAATTTCTATATTACCATTGATAATGGGGTCGGGATGGTCATTCTTTGGTTCAGATATAATAATTTATTCAGAAATACATAAAAATGCTGTGACAAAATGTAATGACATGAAATAATAATGTAATATAGTTTTTAACTTTCTATTTAGGCCCACTCCTGAAACTTTTGAACACACTAATTTATAGGCTGAAAACTGCAATTAAGACCATAATAACAATCACACCATAAAAACACACCATAATAACAATCATAATAATTTATTATGTTTCAATGCAACTATGGCCTTGAATTTTGAGCCTAAGCCAGGACAGGATTTATGAAATTACTAAGTCTTTGATCTGATCAGAATGCTTTTAAACTCCTGTGACAAGAAGGCTTGTTAATGCATATTTGTGCTAGCCGTGTCTTTATTCTGAAGGACTAAGTGTAATTTCCAGAAAAGATTTCAGCGATAATTGGCTAAAAATACTTTCTCTGCTTTAGTTTATTAGTCTGAGCCCTCGTGCTTTTGTAAGCTCTGTGCAATCTGCACTTTTGTGAACCCCTGAAAGGTGGTGAAAGTGAGAGATTTTTTTGTGTGTGTTCAGTTAAGTACACAGTTGGGCCAAAGTTACATTCCATATGCAAAGCCTCCGCTACCCCACATGACCTAGAAAATAAATGTTGTCAGAGATACAAAGCTGTACTGTAAAAACACTCCATATGTGCCCTGTATGGAGACATCATCAAAACTGAGATGATTAGTTACATGTAATCACCAGAGAAATTCTGTTGGAGGAAATGACAACACATGGAGCATTGTTAGGATAATATACCAACTAGGAGCAGAAAGGGTAAACCAGCATCTCCTGTAGAGACGGTGACAAGAAAGATGAATGTGTGCTCAGTGTAAACTGCCAAGTATTACATGGCCAAATCCCCTTCAGTGCCTGAACAAAGCAAACTTCATGTCGTTCGGTATGCGTAAACTTCTGTGTGTGTGAAGGCATGTTCTCTGTGTTTACTTGACTGCATGTAGTCCTTTGTGCTCCATGTGTTTGTTTAAATAGTG